AATCCTTTAGAGTTGTAGTCTCGCGACACTGCGAAAGCAATAGCGTAAATGGATGTAGAGAAAGATTATTCAGTAACTTTGTGATGTTAATATGAATTGACGGTAATATAATTGGATACATTATAAATCACACGTCGTAGTATCGCTTAATTGCTCACAGTCAATGCCTCCTTACATTTTTGGTATTCTGCAGCTTAAACTGTTATGGGAGCCCATTCGTTGCTAGTTTTAGAGGCCCCATAACAGTTCAAGCTGCAGAATACCAAAAATGTAGTTGCATCGAGGCCATCCGGGATTAGAAAAACTGAAACATAAGCTTCGTTAATTTCATAGTAGATACGCCACTGCTCTACCGCGAGTAATATAATTCCGTTTCAATCGTACACATTTGTATCTTAGAACAACATAAAGTTATTGATTTGATAATTATTTAAAAAATAATTGAATATTTTAGATGAAAATTTTAATTATTTTTATTTTATTTTTACAGAATACAGAAGAATTTCAGAGATTTTAATCTCATTGTACGTAGTTATTTCGTACATAGTTATAGTAATATGATTTTTAAAAAATCATTAAAATTTATCATTAAAAAAAGTTTGAAATCTAAAGTTGAAAAAGACTTCAAAACTAAAATTTCAAACATCAGTTGTGACTTTCCTACTTTGACATTTCTCCTGATTGTGACTCCACGAATTTTGACTTGTTTTACCGATTGTGACACCGAATTTGACTTGTTTTACCGATTGTGTCACCAATTTTGACTTGTTTTACCGATTGTGACACCGAATTTGACTTGTTTTACCGATTGTGACACCGATTTTGACTTGTTTTACCGATTGTGACACCGATTTTGACTTGTTTTACCGATTGTGACACCGATTTTGACATTTCCCGATTGTGACTACTCAAGTTTCGACCCTCCTCAATTGTGTCCATCCCTTAAAAAGCGGATATAAATTCATTCAAGAAAGAAAGGAAAGTTTACAAGATAATTATAAATGTAATTAGAATCAATCTGTCTTTAAACACAACTTTGGATTTCTAAAATTAATAAAAATCTTTATATGATTTGGCGTCAAATTATTTCAAAAAACAAAGAATTGTGTCTTTATTGCTGTTTTTTAAAATTAAAGTTAATATTAAATACGATTAAAATCGGTATATTTATTTTCTCGAATAATCCGCGCAGTAAAGGTTTTATTTCGATTGTGCAAGGTTTTAACTCTTTTCATATAAATATATACAAGATAGGACCTATCCCATGATATTATAAAAGGTTTTTTATTTCAACAAATACTAGATTCCTAGTGTTAAATACATCCTTTGTGCGTACCGGAGGCCCTTAATTGTCGGTATTCTTCTTTGTATTTTGTATCGATCATAAAATATACAAAATTATTGCATATAAAAATATTTTCTATTTATGTCACCATGGTTATGCTTAAGTAATGCTTAATTAATGTAGTATGTTTAATTTTTGCATTTCTCTTTGTAAGAATTAGGGTGATTCGTAAAATGACCAAGGAAATTTGACGAGAAGTTACAGGAAAAATGAATTTAGCGTTTCAATCTTTGTAAATTTTATATTTTATGAATATTATAAACTTATAATATACAGTATATATATTATAAGTTTATAATATTCATAAAATATAAAATTGGCTATATGTATATATTGATATATATATATATATATATCAATATATACTTATAGCCAAATCTTAATGTAGCTCTCTACTGAACGTATGATTAAAGGAAGTTTCATATTTTATGCGTGTTAAGTTATTGTCGATTCTTATGGAAATTTCATTTTAATGAACAATAATTTGAAAGAATTCAATTTTGTGTCAGGTTTGCCTCTACTAGGCCCCCATAACAAAACTCTGGCTACGCCCATGTGTATATTATTAATACGGTTTTAATTAATACGCGTCATCCAGAACAGCTGGTCAATTCCTAAGACCTTGGGTCAATTCTACATATCTCCGTATTAGGTTCATTTAGAGTAACTTCTATAGAAGACAGTACACGTATTTTATAAATTTACGAATAATTACTTATTGGTATTATATATGATTAACTCTAATAAATAAACAATATAATTTCTAATGTCAAAATTTTGAATGTATAAAAATTTCAATTTATATTTACAATTTAATCGTTTTACGTTTTGCTNCCACCGAGTGCCTAACGTCACTAGTTATTGATTCACGGTAGTTCCTGAACAAAAGAAAAAAAAGTAACGTCTACTAAAAATATAGTTAACATAACCTAACCTAACCGAAGCGAACAGTCGCGACCGCCGCCATGAAGGTGCACCTAGATAAAGATTGACCTAAATCACACCTAATTTTTGCTGAGCATAAATTCTTTTATTTTTACTAACGTTTTCAACCTATTCAATATAGGCCATCGTTGGGCTTACGATTATAAATGTTCCAAAATGGAACGTGTCGTTTTTCGAATATTTTACATTTTCGAATTTAAAAATGCAAAATATTCGAAGAACATATTTGCAAAATAAAAGAATTTATGCTCTGCAAAAATTAGATGTTTGGTGAAATTAATCCANATCGTTGGGCTTACGATTATAAATGTTCCAAAATGGAACGTGTCGTTTTTCGAATATTTTACATTTTCGAATTTAAAAATGCAAAATATTCGAAGAACATATTTGCAAAATAAAAGAATTTATGCTCTGCAAAAATTAGATGTTTGGTGAAATTAATCCAATATCGATGATTACATAAGTTAGTGCCTAAAGGACTGTTTCAATAGTTTCATTTTTTCTGCAGATGCTTGAGTAGCTAATATTGGTACTGTACTGTACATATATACAGACGGCCGGATGGCCGATAGATCTAGGTGGCAGCCTATCGCTCTGGGGGACCCGAGATGGAATTTGAAACAGGTCGAAAATTCCCAGGAATTTTCTGGGAGTGGTCCGTCCGGATATGTCGGGCCCCGTCCCTCACCACCCGGCCGCCCCATTGTATGCCTGGCCGAATTCATAATGGACTTGCTAAAAGAGGCCCTCTTAGTGCCGACACAGGGCGGAAAGAGTTTTAAAAAAGGTACGTATATACAAGAGAAAAACGGCGTGATAATCGTGGTTGAGGTTATTCATACTTCAAGCAATCTAAAATGTTCGAAATGTTACCATGAAAATACTAGCTGCCCCCCCTAGCCACCGGCAAGTGCCAGCTAGAAATTATGCCGCTCTGAGCAAGATAGTTATTTGCCACCTTAAAATTTAAATATAGACATAGTGTAATTTTAATCGAAAGATCCGAGGGCTCGGATTTCACACATTTAAAAAATATGAATACAATTGAAAGATTTTTTAATACTCTCCGCCCTGTGGGCACTAAGAGGGCATCTTATAACAGGCCCATTATGGGTTCAGCCAGGCCCACAATGGGGCGACCGGGTGGTAAAGGACTGGGCCCGACGTGTCCGAACGGACCACCCCCGAAAAATGCCTAGAATTTCCTTTACCCGTCCGGATTCGATTCCGGGTCCTCAAGAGTGGTGACAACCTACCACTCTTGAGGACCCGGAATCGAATCCCGCAAATACAATTGAAGGTAAAATAGTTGATATTCTCCGTGGAAAATGGAAATTAATGTATTGTGTATGCATGTTTTGTACATATTTTCTTCCTTCTGTGTACAGTGTATCTGTTTAATTAATAAATAGGTGCATTTGCATTTTTCTATATTGTATTTCGTTGCATATCTACGATAATATAATTGGGAAAACCGTAGCTCATCCTCTAATGCATTTAAGGTAACGCAAAGCGCTGGAAGTGGCAGAACTATCTATTACTCCACTTTCACAGCATTAGAGCTATTGGTAGCCGATGAAGCAGTATATCTATCGACACAGCAGTATATCGTGTGTTAAGTTATTGTCGATTCTTATGGAAATTTCATTTTAATGAACAATAGACACAAAACCATCATTTTTAGACACAAAACCATCATTAATAAAATTTCGATGCATAATTTTATTCTACACATCTGTATTCAGAGAATTCAATTCAAAAAAAATTATTACTACGTAATACAACACGTAGTTATTTCTTACGTATATCCATGGGCGTAGCCAGGAGGAGGCATGGGTGGGCACGCTCCCCCCAGTTAACCTGGTACCCTCCCCAGAAAATCACAGCCGAAAAAGTGTTGAGACGATTTTCAAAAAGAAATAAAAAGTTGAAGCTTATTTAATTGGGTGTAGAATGTGAAAAGTGTATCTGTAATCTCTATGCACAGTTTAGTCTCTACGGAGTGACGCCACAATAGGATCTCGCATCACCCGAAAATCTTGCTAGGACCGCCTCTGGTTCGGGCAGTGAAAAAAGTTTTCTTTCCAATTCGGCCCGGAGGAAAAAACTGTTGGCCACCTCTGGTTTATATCTAGATTAAAGACGGTAAACTATACTGTATTAAAGAATGGTAAAAAAAATAATTGATTGGTTAATTTTTGTTTAAGGCATTGCTAGAGTTTGATATTAATGTTACGAAAACGTATGATTAAAGGAAGTTTCATATTTTATGTGTGTTAAGTTATTGTCGATTCTTATGGAAATTTCATTTTAATGAACAATAATTTGAAATAATTCAATTTTGTGTCAGGTTGGCCTCTACTAGGCCCCCCATAACAAAACTCTGGCTACGCCCATGTGTATATTATTAATACGGTTTTAATTAATACGCGTCATCCAGAACAGCTGGTCAATTCTACCTATCTCCGCATTAGGTTCATTTAGAGTAACTTCTATAGAAGACAGTACACGTATTTTATAAATTTACGAATAATTGGTTCAACTTATTCGTGTTATTTATGCTTAACTCTAATAAATAAACAGTATAATTTCTAATGTTAAAATTTTGAATGTATAAAAATTTCAATTTATATTTACGATTTAATCGTTTTACGTTTTGCTATATTTTACAATTTATTAATATAACTCTTCCAAATACGAACGAAAATATTATATAACTTTTTCGTTTCTGTCACTGATTTAAATAATTGAAATTAAAATAACTATCACGTGACTATTAAAAAGCAAAATGGGTTCGTCGGACTGTTTGGAGAAAGGGAAAGAGACGACGGAGAGCGAAGAGGATTGGAGAGTGAGTTGCAGCGACGAAGAGAAGGAAAGTTGTCGAATATGGGAACCGAAACCGGAAGAGATATTGGATTTGTACATGAAATTAGAGAAGAGAGGAATCTTGGATCTGGAGTGGCAATGCCCGGGTAGAAGATCTCCCAGTGTCCATTCCAGCGAATCGAAATGCGTCGACAGGAAACAAATGGACGACGAAGATCTCAAGCTCAAGAGGTTCGTCGTCGGTTTGTTTCTTACTTTGTTACGATGCGTTATACGGCAGAAGAGAGTTAATCCGTAAAGTCGCAGTTCTGAATCGGGGGGTTTACACTCCCCAGTTTTAAACATCCCTACTCCAATGGGTATAGTCCACGGCTATAAGGTCCTCCCGGTTGCTCCTTCCTGGCGTACCGTGTTAGGAGTCGCTCTCGATTTCTGTCCGGTGTCTGGTGGCCGAGCGGATGGAACCACTGGACGCCGGTACTCGGTCCTTGATTTGTGCCAGGCTGGCCACCTAGTTTTCTTTCTGTGTGTGGCATCTAAATAGGGACGGCTTTTCCCGTAAAACCTTCCAAGAGACATTCCCCTGGTGTATTGTCCACCAGTTGCATTGCCGCTGGCAAAATGACAATGCTCACGATTGCCCCTGTGACGGGTGTTAGTGCAGCCACGTCTTTGCCTTATTTCCTGGCCGGGGTTTTTTAATGCGCCATGTGTCTATACAAATTACGATTTGTGAAATACTGTACTAACGTGCTGATTATTGGAAAATTCTGGTGAAGGATGCCGGATTAATGAACCGTCGTGTCTAAAATGCCCTGCATTTTGCTATGTCACGTTAAGTAGAAACTCGTGGACTGATCGATCCGTCGTTAAAATATTTATAAAAGTATTCGTTTTGAATGCACAATTTTTTCATGTATTTCACTTTTGTATTTTTACAATAAATGAAAAATGTTTTAATAATTAAAGAAGGAAAAATAAACCAATAACAAGTGAATCAGTGCATTTGCATTTATGTTTAAGACTTTATCATAAATAAATCTTTTGCTATTGTTGAACAATTGTTTAGAAAAATGAAATACGGCTTTCGTTTCACAGAATTAAGAGCTTGTGTACATTCTGATATTAATTTAATTTAAATTATAATCGAATTAATTTTAATAATTATTTTTAGGACAATAAAGGATACAAAAACACTCGTTATTTATTTTTTGTTTAACTAAAAAAACGCATAAACAATATTTTGTATAAAACAATGAAAAACAACTAGCGCGGTGTAAAACAGCATGTGTTGAATATCAAGCACGCACTGTTTCCGCAACACTACTTCATAAACCTAAGTTAATTGCTCGTAGTTTAATGTTCGAATATAGATATGTTTTCATGCCATAGCAATGTCCATATGTTTAAACTAGAAAGTGGTTTCTATTATATGTTTATCAATATTGTTCTGAATAAACAAAAGCATATAAAATAGTAAAATAAAATCGAATGGTTTCATCATCAATGTACTGCCGATACAGTTTATACTGGCGACAACTACGGATTAGGCGATCAAAATGACTCTTACAAGAACGTTTTAATTTCAAAATAAACAGTTCACAGGGTAACGGAGCAGGACTTTCATGTTTGATGTAGAAGAATCAGTTCTACTTCGTTCAGATGACATAGTAGAGTCTTTCAAGTCTCCGCTGCAGGCCCGCCGTAAGCGGGCGTGCAAGGCGTGCATCGCACGCGGGCGGCACGTCCAGGGGGGCGGCAAAGAGTCTTTCTGGCAAGCTCAGCGTAGGTAGTCGTAGTTAAACAGGGGGTGGCATAATCGGTATTGCACACGGGCGTTCAAACAGCTGGCGGCGCCCCTGTGTTCGCCCGATTAGCCGGCTCGTGATGTGTCTCGATCGGGCGAATACTCGTTTTCGTTTATTTATTGCCGACCGATTTCTTTTCCCTCTGCACCGGCCGAACTTGCTGTCTGCTAGTGCAGAGTTCTTGCAAGCTTTACAAGAGTCTAGCTCAGGTGGCCAACAGATTTTGCCCCCGGGCCGAATTACAAAAAACTTTTTCCACGGGCCAAACCAGAGGCTGCCCTAGGAAGATTTTGAGATGGTGCGAGATCTCATTGTAGTGTCACCTCGTAGAGACTGAATTGTAAATAGAGATTACAGATATATTTTTCACATTATCAACATTCTACCCTGTACTTAAGAGATTTGTAATGGAGTGTTAACTCTAAACGCACAGTGAGTTGTTGACTCTTGTCTATTAGTGTGGCTTCCATCTGCGATCAGACCTACTTCATTACGTAGAAAGAAACCCCACATTATGACTAATCTTACCAGCGGAGTAGCGTGGGTGTCAGCCGCCCGGGCGGAGGAAATTTTTGCCGTCCCGCTATTTAGGCATCTCAATTTAAAAGACTAAAATTCAGTTTCGTCACAGAATAAGCAATGAAAAATTCCGTGCTAGTGACGTGTTTAAAATAGCTCTATTGGATATTGGAGGTGTATATGAATACTATTGAATCGTACATGCAAAAAAAAGTCAACAGGTTGCGCAGGATATCCCGGAATGAAATTACTAGTTCACCTGGACGATGAGTCGATTCCCGGACGATAGCACTATCGTAGGTGCGACGCAAATATAGACTAGAATGGTTCAAATTTTTACAAGATATTATTATTATTTATTGTGAAATTTTGCCGCCCCCACTACGCTACGCCACTGAATCTAACTTAAAATTCCCTTTATTAATGTTCACCAGATGGAAATTCTGATACTGTTGTACTAATTTAGATATACCGAAGTATATCTTAGTGTAACGATAATGAATCGTATTGAGGACTTCACAATAAATACACAGATTTTAGACCGACAATATGAATTTAATTAACAATGTTATTCTTCGCGATTACAAGTTGTCTACCATGAATGTAGACGATGAAATTTTACAATTAATTACAAGAAGATTCCTATGGTTGCCGTATTCTATCGTACACTACCTCCCTATATTCTTCGGATTCGTTGCTCCCACGTGCAGTCCTTCTTTGTCTACCACGATGTTTCCAAACCGTCCGTGAGATCCTTTCGTTCTAATCTCCTTCCAATAGTCTCAAGTCGACAGAAGCCCACGAAGTACAATGGCCCTTTCCACGTGGACGTGCTCCTTTTATATCCTTTCCTTCCTCCGTTACCCAAGGTACCGTTCGCGCAGCCAATCATCGCCACGATATGGCCGTACCCTATCCCGAGAACTACTTCTAGCTGCGGAGCACTACATACCTCCCCCCAAAAGATTATATCCCAAACTGCAGTTTGCGGAAGTCAATTTTTCTCCCCCTCAAGTTATACGGTCTTTTTTCACTTTCCACTATTCCGGGATCTTCGTTTTTTTCTTCACTAACGTTCGTACTTTGTTTTCCTCCCCAATTACCCCCTCCTACTCGGAAGTCCACCGATTCCTCATCTTCATCTACTACCTCTTCTGATGATTTCTTGGATAAGACTTCCTCCCTTTCTTATAAGTTACATAACTATAGCACGGCTTGAGACGGTCAATGTGTACTTGATCAGTGTCTTTCTTGTTACAACCTTCTACACAGTAAGTGGTGGGATTCACAACTTTAGTGATACGGAACGGCCCTACGTAGTTTGGTGAGAATTTCCTTCTTTTAACCCCCATCCTCTTAACCCACACCTTCTGGCCTTCGCTAAACTTTATTAATTTCCTACTTTTATTCCTAATTCCCCTACTCTTCCGGTTATTCTCCGCTGCGTGATTATTTGCAAGTTCCCTTAACGACCGTAATTTTGTGACAATAAAGGATCTGCGCTCATCCACAGAGACAGGATTGGGGAGGCCATCCAAAGCAGGGGTACGGGGATCTATGCCGAATAAGAGGAAGGCCGGTGATATTCCTTAATGGACAGATGATACGTATTATTATAGGCGAAACACGACGAGGGGATTAAATCATCCCATTCAACGCCTTCCTCGCCCCCTGACTTCGCAATCATGTTTATCAATTATTTATTTGCGCGTTCGCACATGCCATTCGAACAAGGGCGATAAGATGTCGTGATGTTGCGCCTTATCCCCAACCATTTGCAACAGTCATTAAATAAGGAAGAAAGGAAATTTGTCCCTCGATCAGATACAATTATCTCAGGCACCCCATACCGACAGATTATATGATCGAATAGTATGTTGCTTACAGACCAGGCTGTCTGGTCTTTTAAGGGGTATGCTTCCATGAACCGTGTATAGGTATCAACCACAACCAATATAAACCGATTTCCTTGTTTTGAAACATGAATAGGTCCAATTATGTCAAGGGCTATCTTCTGGAATGGTTTATCTGCCGTTTCATTGGCTTGGAACGGGGCCTTACCGTTACGGGTATTATACATCTGACATTTTTCACAAATTTTGATAACTTCCTCGACTTTAGGCCTGAGTCTCTTAATAAAATAATTCCTTTCTATATTCTTAATGGTTTTTTTTAAACCCCAATGCCCAAGTAGTTGGTTCTCGTGAATGGCTTTAATTAACGTCTTATCAATGTCCTCTCCTACACACAATTTTTCCACATACTGGTTCCTTCCCCTTACGAATTCCCTCCTATAAAGGCAGCCATCTATTACCCTATAATTATTTACCTTATCAGTAGATTCAGTATCCATCTGGGTTCTCAATATATCCCTCTTTATAGGTCCGAAGGTGTCATCAATATCTTGAGATTGCCCTATTTCCTCCTTACTTGGGATTCTATACCGAGGGGTATCTACCTCGATGTGATTAATGTCAACATTTCTAGACAGAAGGTCTGCTACGGTATTATCCACGCCTTTAATATGGTTGACTTCGATATCATAGTCCATCAATTCCATCACCCAACGCGTCAGGCGGCGACTCCCGTTCTTGATATTACTTAGAAATATTAATGGCTTATGATCAGATATTATGATTGTCCTTTGCCCTAGTATAAGGTATTTAAAATGTCTTAAGGCCAGGATAATCGCAAGGCACTCTTTCTCTATCGTGGAATAGTTTAATTCCGCTCCTTGGAATCTTTTGCTATAATAGCCAATGGGGACCAGTCCCCGTTATGCTCTTGCTCTAGAACACCTGCTGCTGCCGGTCGGACGCATCCGTATGCAAATAAAAGGACTTGCAAAAGTCAGGGTGGGCTAGCACAGGTGGAGATGTGATGGCCTCCTTTAACCTCTCAAAGGAGTCTTGACAACAGGAGTCCCACATGAACCTCTTATCCTTTCTTGTCAGGTCGATTAAGGGAGCTGCAATATCAGAGAAGGACGGGATGAAATTACGGAAAAAAACTATTGCCCCTAAAAAGCTCCTTACTTCCTTGGTGTTATTGGGTCGTCTAACCTGACGTATAGATTCAACGTTTTTAGTGTCAGGCTTTATGCCTTTGTTATTCAAGATGTGCCCCAAGTATCTCACCTCCTTAGCCAAAATTTGACATTTCCTAGGGTTTACTTTCAGACCTTCATTTATCAAAGTTTCTATTACTTGTTCAAGAAGTTCCAAGTGCTCATCTAACGTCTTAGAGAATAACACGATGTCATCCTGGAAGACGAAGCAGTTACTTCCAATGAACCTCCCAAGGACCTTTGTCATGACAAATTGGAAGAATCGGCTGCTATTCTTCCCCCCTTGTGGCATTCTGCATAGCTGATACTTCCCCCAAGGCGTGGTAAACGAAAAAATATGCCTTACCTTCGGATCTAATGGGATTTGGAAGTATCCCGCTTTTAGGTCTAATACAGAGAAAAATTTGTTGCCCTCCAACTGGGAAAAAATATCATCGATTCTAGTCATTGGAAATAGCTGGGGTTCAGTAATTTCATTAATTTTCCGCAGATCGAGGGTAACCCGGATTTCTCCGGAGTCCTTGGGGACGACGTGGATCGGAGAGTTCCAACTCGAGGAACTTTCTTCACAAATACCTGCCTTCACTAACTCACCCACCTTCCTCTTGAGGGCTGGCAAATAATTATATGGGATGCGATATTGCTTTATATTAATGGGGAGGTCGGACACTAACTTAACGGAATGCATGTAGTTAATTGACCCAGAAATATCAGTAACCTCATCCGCAACTGCATTCGGATACCTACTTAATACTTCCGTAACCCTTTCTCTTGTCTGGTTATCCATATGATCAAGTTTCCACTCACTCTTGCTCGAATCGGCCTCATTGTTAATATTTATATAGAATCCTTCATTCCCCTCCTCGCGACCCAGTCTACTTACTAGACATAACTCAGCCAGTATTCCCGGGTAATTACTAATAATATCCATTCCAAAGATGATCTCGTAATCAACACCTTCTGGAAGTTTTACACTAGGGATTCTTAATTCTATCTCACTCTCGTTACTTAAACTACATTTAGCAAGTAAGGCTTCATCGCTATTGACAATTATCCCAGTCATGCCTTTAATACACGTACCGTTTTGGGTAACCCAATTCCCATTCCTTAATCTCACCCAGTCAGTAAGCTCATCCTTTATAACGGTTCTTTCAGCACCTGTATCAACCAGCCCTTTCACCTTCCGCCCTAATAGTTTACCGACAATGATTGGTAAGCCACGTTCATTGAGGAAAATTTGCTTGGTCAGTTCTATACTAGCACATCGGTCATTTTCCTGACCATACAAATGACCGTTGCCTAGTTTAAATCCTTTCTATGGCGGCATTGCCTAGACAAATGTCCCTTCTCGCCACATGAGTAGCATCTACGAGGCTCGTCATATTTTTGTCTGAGGCCCTTTCCTTCCTTCATGTACTCCATCATTGACGAAACGGATTCACCCAACTGCTTCATCTGCACCTCCAGGTCGGCTATTCGGTTACTTAATTTACCCTTATCATCTATTTCTCGCTCTTGCTCTATGCTAGCACATACTTCATTAATAATACCACGTTTCCCATTGGCAGCCTCGACATCCTCCTCACTCTCAGCCTTTTTTATAGCTTCATCCAAGGTTTTGGGGGTTCCCTTGCAATACTTGCCTACGTATTTCGGGCACCAACCCTTTCATGAAGCTCTCCTTCACGGTGTTATCTCTTAACATGGCTAGGTTGGGGTTCTTTGTTACAGCGCGGGCGAACCACGTTTTTATCCGAACACTATATTGACAAACGCGCTCCCCCTTTTTTTTGCGATATTTTCAGCACTAAGTCAAAGGGATCCTTCTCCCTCTCTTTATGACCAAAACATTTTTCTAACGTTTCCTTAACTTCCTTATAATTATTCGTTCCCTGCTCCTTGAGATCGAAGAATATGGATAATGGCTCACCTTTCAGTCTTGCTTGAATTAGTGAGTTTTACCCTTTCGTCCCACTTTGCCAATGTAGCCACATTCTCTACTGTTGCGAAAAAGCGGCCGATATCCAGCGCATCTCCTGGTGAGTTTGAAAAGCAAGGGATCATTCCCATGAACCCCGTTACTATAGGTACATCACTCATCTCTGCTACACTCGTTGATTGAATCTCACTATGTACTTGGTCTTCCATCTTTGCACAGTTCTTATGGTCTACGATATACAATATTATAACAATTTATACTAATTAAGTCCTCTTACAGACACACGTATCCTGTCGCGGACGCCAATGTACTAATTTAGATATACCGAAGTATATCTTAGTGTAACGATAATGAATCGTATTGAGGACTTCACAATAAGTACACAGATTTTAGACCGACAATATGAATTTAATTAACAATGTTATTCTTCGCGATTACAAGTTGTCTACCATGAATGTAGACGATGAAATTTTACAATTAATTACAAGAAGATTCCTATGGTTGCCGTATTCTATCATACACTACCTCCCTATATTCTTCGGATTCGTTGCTCCCACGTGCAGTCCTTCTTTGTCTACCACGATGTTTCCAAACCGTCCGTGAGATCCTTTCGTTCTAATCTCCTTCCAATAGTCTCAAGTCGACAGAAGCCCACGAAGTACAATGGCCCTTTCCACGTGGACGTGCTCCTTTTATATCCTTTCCTTCCTCCGTTACCCAAGGTACCGTTCGCGCAGCCAATCATCGCCACGATATGGCCGTACCCTATCCCGAGAACTACTTCTAGCTGCGGAGCACTACATTGTACATTTAAAATTGTCATCGCTTGCTTCCAACTAGCATATTTGATACTCGAATATTCTTTGCAATCTGTCAAATTTTATGGTGTTGTAATAGCGCGAAATGTTATAACTTTACGCTAGATAACGCTTATTTTATTTACATATTAGGCCTATCAGTAACGTAAATAACAAGCCCGCAAGGTCTAAAGCACGGACTGGCCCCCGGGGAAGAAGAGGCTCCATTGCCGGATCCAACAAAATTTTTTAAGGATTTTTTTCCCTCTCTCCTCCTCATTTTTGACTCTACGTGGGCACTTTTTTCTAAAACTCTTTCTTCCCCGTGGGTACTAAGAGAGCCTACTTTTACAAGCCCATTACGGGTTCGGCCAGGCCCACAATAGGGCGATCGTGTGGTGAGGGGCGGGGCCCGACATGTCCGAACGGACCACTCCCCGAAAAATTCCTGGGGATTATTTGACCCGTCCGGATTTGATCCAGGATCCCCCAGAGCGGTAGGTTGCAACCTTGACAGCTCGGCCATCCGGCCGCTACCGTATGGACACTAAAAGGGCCTTTTTCCATGCCCATCATGGGGAAGGGGCACAACATATCTAGGGCAGACCTTCCATGAAAAATTCCTGGGGTTCTTTACTCGATTATTCGATTAATTATCTTCCAGAGCAATAGGCTGACGTTTAATTTCCTCGGCCATCCGGCCGTCTCCGTACGATTATTGATATTTTTCGATCAATTATTGAACGAAAAAGTAACTAAAAACTAACATTAAACTTTTACTATTTTAAAACTTACACAATTAAAAATATAAATTTATGCTTTTTATACATTTAATTTCAATATATATACTGTATGTAATTACAAATATAATTTGAAATACGTATTTCCGTTTCCGAAATCTATTGCAATTGCGCACATCAATGCTGAGCACGTGGCATATCTACTTATTTTAAAATCCTTACACGAGGTTAGTTTTAAATTCAGTAACCTGATATTATTGTATAGGTAATATTGTATTGATTTAAAGGTAAAACATATGAAATTGATCTTGATTATATTTAATAAACATGACATAATGTATTATTTAAATATTGTCACATTTAAATTAATGTATTTAAATTTTAGATAATTATATAGATAACATTTAATGAAAATAATTATAATAATTGCTACTTAAATACTATTTATAATAATTAATTGAGAAAGATGGGTCCTTTATATTACTCCATGTTTTTAGACTGTTGACCTTGATTATATTCGTCATCTCTTGTAGTGATTCGTTTCTAGGTCAATCTGTGAAGTTCAAAAACATATGGGATAATTTATAATATAGATATAAAGTGTAATTAGTTTAATAATATAAATCTATATATATATAAAGTAAAATGGTTAATATGGTTAATCTGTTAATTCTTTCCTTATAAACATATTGTAGATTACTTCAGTGTTTCTCAAACTGTTTGCTTACAAAACACTAAAAAGGTAAAATTTTCTGGCATACTTTTTATACAAAATTAAAAATATTAATACTTTATAAACTATGAGTAGTTATGTAGAATAAAGACTAGACTGGCTATTATATGATTATAGATTTAATAAATCTTTACACAAATGGTTTATTTTCATTTTTAAAATATACTTTTATAATATTTGTGGTGCACCATTTGAGAATTGATGGATTATTTTCGAATACAACCAGCTTCTTTAAATATCTCTACAGGGATTGATAGGAAATAGTTGCCACTATTTATCAATCTCAAATCTTCAAGAAACACGTGAATGATGAAATATTTACTTGAATGTAAGATGTACCTTAATTTCTATATGTTCACTAACGAGAATTTTTTTTTTAAATAGACAACTTTAGACAAATTTATGTATGTACAGAACTGATTCCATTGAATCAGTTCAATAGAATCAATTCACTTAACACTTTTTATCAATCACTTGAATCAGTTCTGTTGATGTAAATTTGTTAAGTGTTTATTACACGGTAAAGTAAGTTACTGTGTAACAAATATCACTGTCTTCTGTTGTGTCAAGTTGTAAATCTTTTCACTTTTTATGTAGTCTCTTCTGTATCAACAGTGGATTTGACATTCACATCTTTCCACATCCAGAGTCAATTTTTGAGATTTACTTCACTTTTATTTCAGTTAAAATATTTTTGAGGTAGTTGGACTGTTTTCTTTTGAAAAATGTAAGCTTTTTCAATGTACATTGGATGATATATTTAACAGAATGTACTTAGAAAATAATTAAATTAAATTATCAAAACACACCTTATAATTTATTTCCAAAGGTGTTGTTAAAAAATACACCCTGGTCTCAAATAAGGGGTTTATTTGAATTTAATAAGTCTTGGGGATATGTATGTATTTAAAAAATAAACCTCAGAGTGATTTAATCAAGGAAATGTGTATATCAATATACACTAGTGTGCAAAACTTAAGCAACGATTGTTTTTTCTTGCCATAACTCCACAAATCACCTGGGAGACATGAAATTCAGGATACAAAGACAGTAGTTTGTATTTAAAGGATGAAGAAAGCATACTAGTGCAAAAATGAATAGAATGCATATAGTATAGAATGAAAGCCTTCTTTTTATTGTAGTCTTGCACCGAGCACTCTGACTACACACATTTTGCATGTCCTCACATTATTTGTCTTCTTTTTGCATAAGAATCACCTTTCTAGTGAATTGGGTATCCATTGTACTGATTGCAACAAGCCCTTTTCTACAATTTTATGGCTTCTGCTTAAAAATTACATTGTTGCTTAAGTTTTGCATGCCAGTGTACTAAAGAACATTATAAATAATTTATCATTATCCAATAATGTAAACAAGTTTGTGAGAGCCAGAGTGCATGTTCTTCAGAGGGCACAGTGGAGAAAAGGAAAAATGCATGATTTTTGGTGAAATTGGAGAGGTTACAAACAGGCAAGGTTGATGTGTTGCTTGTCTGGCATCTTGGTCACAAATGTTCAAAGTAGCATGATTTCTCTACCAACCTCAGATGAAGCTAATAATTTATACAATGAAACTTGATTAAAATGGAAACTTGCCTAAATGGGAATAATTCTTCAGAACATAGTGATTTTCTGTGTTTAAAAACAACCTGTTTAATACGGAAACCTGCCAAACAGTACTGTGCAAGTCTGATTTATACAGTTTTACTGTATTTACTTCATAAATCACTTCTTTTCCATTGATGTTTTGGAATAATGATCTATGAAAATTTCAAGAAAAAGTTTATTTTTTATCATAAAGTAATTTATCTGTGCTTCTTTATGTTATAATACTATAAATAATTCAGAAAATTAATTTTAACAAAAATTTTAGAGCAAAGATTGAAAAAACAATTGTTTACATTTTTAAAGATGTGAAAATATAGATAATGTTCTTTATCCATCTATCATCATTTAAAAAATTACAATAAAATCAAACAGGACAATTGAAAAAAATAGCAAAAAAAAGGGGGGGACTTATTGGTAAATTTCATTTCAAATCAATACAGCAACTATTTCAAAACATTACAGTCGACCCCCCTATAAGATCATTGATTTTTCCGTTTTATCTGAATTACATGTTGTACGAGTCACTTAGATTTTACAAATATGTGAGCCGTTCACAGCTCGGCACACGTATTTGTAAAATCTAAGTGACTCGTACAACATGTAATTCAGATAAAACGGAAAAATCAATGATCTTATAGGGGGGTCGACTGTACTATAATCAAAATATTTTTTGAGTTTAATTATTTGTTAATGATGATTTTGTGAGAGTTTTTTTATTTTTGTGAATTTTAAAAATAATAAACATTTTTGTTTTTAGATTTATTTGCACAGTATGGCACTGGTATTACTTCTGCTAGTTTTTCCTATTGGAAGCTTAAGTCACATGGCTAACCAACAACAAAATTATATGCAAGGAGCACAACAAGGTCACATGCATGGAGCACCTCAAGGGATGCAGCAAGGAGTACCACAGCAAGGATATATGCAGCAAGGTGTGCCTCCTCAGCAAGGATTTGCACCACCACAAGGAGCAAATCAAAATCTTCTTCGAGATAAAAGTCACATTCAAGATAAAGAGTATGTAATCTTTATTGTATTTGCAAATTCATAAAATTGTTTACTATAATCAGTGTTATAAATAATCATCTATATAAGGAATCTTAAATAAATTTGAATACCTTACATAGATTTTGACATCTGTAAGATAAAATTTTTATGAAATGAAATAAAGACCATTTATAGCTTATTTTACTTGAATTTTGAGAAATATCCATTTGAAAACTAGATTTTTATTTATACATCTAAAAAATATTTTATTTTCAAAAATGTTTAGATAGGAAGCAAAACTTTTCCAATGAAAATTTTATTTCTGTCATAAATGCAAATATGAGTAGTATGCAAAAATAATATGCAGTAACTATACTTAAACTTTCAGCTTTCTAATGCTTGATTCTATATACATCAGACATTTCGACGAGAAGTGAATGGATTTAGAACTATCAATAAACTTCAATAGATCAAGTAATAATTTAAGTTTCTAAATTTGTATTATATAGCACTTAAATCTTTACATGGAATACATTATGAAACAAAGTTCTGTAGACTTTTTTAAATTTAAAAATAACTAAGACATCATGTGACTTTGTCATATCACAATAGAAATGAGGCAGAGCTGGAAAGAAAGGAAGCAATCCTTGCACTCATTAGACACAAAAAAGGCAATCTTTATACCTGACAGTTGCACAGTTGCAGACAGCAAAGTTTGCACTTGCTGCCACAAAAAAGGCTATCTTTGCATCTGCTGGTCACAGGAAAGGTGATCCAAGAACAAAGCAATCGATACCAATGCCCCCCCCCAGTAGCTAAGTGGATAAAATCACTGAACACTGGTAGTTGGTTGAGAGTTCATGACTGGCTACATGGAGTTTTACATGTTTTTTTCATGTTAGTAACACCTAAATAGGGGCCAGTTTCCCATAAAAGACCTCTTGAGTCATTCCTCCTTGGCAGATCACCCATGTGTCACATTGCCATATACAAATAAAACAAACTAAAAGCAAGTGATGCCAATTGCTTTGTTCTTGTGTTCTGTTTATTTTTTGTATCTATTTTCTGTTAGGTGTGTGCAATGCTTATTATTTTATTTTAAACCCTTAAATTCCATTATGCATGTTCACGGAGCATGGACATTGTCACTTTGACCCCACTTTATATTGAAAACAAATTCATGGACCCCTATTTTCTGCATTTACATTTATTACATTTCTGGATTCTTCATCTCAATCTATATAAAATGGCAAAATTGTCAAAATTGGCCCATCAAATTTTGATGATAAACTCAATTCTATAAGCCACATAGATATGCTAGCAATCTTGAGAAATCATATGACATCGCATGCTCTTGTTAAGACCTTGTATCTCAAACAGTCATGAAACCCCATTTTTTATTTCATTTTGAGATTCTTTATAGTAATAAATAGAAAATGGCAAGGTTTTATCAGAATCGATCAAACAGATTTTTGAGAACAAATGAAATTCTGTAAGCCACATACAAGAGGCTTTGCTAATGCTCTGCCTCAGTAAAATGTATTCTTATTTTTGAATATTGATATATTGAAAATTTAAATGAAATATATGCTGTAAATGATCAGCAATAAGATAGTGAAGTCAATTTTTGGGGAGGACAAAAGTATCAAAGTACAACTCTTCAAGAGTACTAATACCATTATTGTACTTTCTCATTTGGAACACTTAATAATTTATAACTTATTTTCAGAAAGATAGAAAATAAAATTTTTCTTTTACACAATGCTTTTAATAATTACGGATTATTATTAAAAAGATTTGAAATATTGAGTTTTAGTATTTTTTTTTTTTTTTAAGATTTTCTGAAATTTATTTTTGCTAATAATTCTATTATAATTGTAATATATTAGGTTATTCGCAAAGTAAGTTTGTTTTTTTACCACTAGACGAATTAGTCGTATTTTTCCCGCCATTTACATTCTAAACCGTATTTCATTATATATTTTGACAGCTAGGCTTATTTGTAAAAAATTTTGTTTGACTTTGTGCAATTGTTTATTTTTTGTGTCCCATCAAATATGGAAGATTGAAAGCAGCATCTTCGGCATATTTGCTTTTTTATTACCAAAAAATCAAAATGCTGTTCAAGCAAGAAAAAAATTGTGGTACATGTATGGAGATGATGTGTTGAGAGAAAGACAGTGCCAAAACTGGTTTACAAAATTTAATTCTGGTAAATTTCAATATTGAAGATGCACCACGTTCTGGATAGCCAGTTGAAACCAATGAAAACAAAATAAAAGTACTGATTGAAGCAAACTGCCGAATAACAACACGTGAAATCACTAAGAGATTAAATCTGTCAAATTGAACTGTTTATGATTACTTGAAACAAATTGGTTTCGTTTCAAAGCTATATTGGTTATATTTGGGTTCCACATGTTCTTAAAGAGAGATGCTCTCTTTGGAGGGATTTTAAGGAATTTTTTTTTTTGAGCTTTTACTACACAATTTAACAATTGATTCGAAAGTGTACTGCCATCGAGTAAACAAATTGAGTAATTTTATCAAATAGAAAAGGCGGCCAGAATTGATTGACAAAACAGGTGTAGTGTTTCACTATGATAATGTCAAATTTCACACAAGTTTGGTAACTCATCAGAAACTGTTATAACTTAGATGGGATGTGCTATCGCACCAACCATATTCGTCAGATCGAGCACACTCAGATTATTACTTGTTCCGGTCTATACATATTTTTTTTAACTGTAAGACATTTACTTGAAATGACAATGTCAAAAATCATTTGGATCAGTTTTTTGTAAGCAACGATCAAAACTTTTACGAATGTGAAATCACACTACTACCAGAAATGATGACAACAGGTATTTGACCAAAATGATCAATATATAATTCAATAAAATATTTATTTATTAAAAAATATTGTGTTTTTTTTTCCACAGAAAAAAATGAACTTACTTTCCAAACAACCCAATAGTAATTTCTCACTTTAATAGAATTTCATTTTAATAAATTCTAGTTTTGACCTGATTATTACCTTTGTTTTCATGAAGTTTATGGTAAATTAGAATAAAGCACTAGTATGTTGATAGAACTTTTTAAACTAAAACGTAATACAAAATTTAAGATATGAAAAATATAGTATAAATTATAAGCTTTGATTTTAATGTTAATTCTTTATATAAATGTATTATTAAAACATATTATGATACTGTATGTACTAATACATCCAATTCTGTTTTTGCGTGGATTTTGATTTAACATATTTTAAATAAATTTGCTTTTTTTTAATTCTAAGAAAAAATATTCATACTTTCTTTTTCTTTCTAGAAAATAATTATTTTTTAAATAAAATTTTTTTTAAAATTCTTATAATTTGCATTTAAAGCTGCCACACATGTCCAAATGAATTTCAAGATTTGGTTGTTTCTTTGCTTATTTGAATGCGTGTTACGACAGTCTTTCTTTCAAACTTTGTCCATGATTTAAGCACTCATAAAAAATTTAATTCAAAGTTTAATTCAAAGTACAACTCTTCAACTACAACTCTATTTGTTTATATGTTTGTTTCTTTTAATTTCTTTCAATATGAAATCATTTTTGTATGCCATTTGGTGTTAAAAGCTAGAGGTATTTTGGCATTCAATTAAAAAAGTCAAATAAAAATTAAATATTCACACATTTTATTAGCAAAATTTAATACATTTAAAATAAGTTAGTTATCCCTTTTCTGATTTTAGTAAATAAAATTGGGATTATTTAGTTTAAATGCACACTATTATATTAATTGGTTTTCACAGTTTGGAGCCAATCTTCTATTTTTCTCTACAGACAGTATCTTTTTTTACATGGATTTTTTGGAAATTTATCTACTGTGTAAAAACAGAATTGGGTATAGTTTTACTTGAATAATTAAAAAACTTAAAATAGAGCTTTTCTAAATTTAATATTTATATTAAGAATACAATATCTGGAAATTAGCTTTATAAAGTACTTTAAAAATGTCTTTTTAATTATTTTAGACACATTAAAGAACATTTACAAGGAGTCGTTGATCATCCAGACGTTACGAAGATGTCAGAAGAGGAATTGCAGTTTCATTATTTTAAAATGCATGATAATGATGACAATAACAAATTGGATGGTTGTGAACTAATCAAATCAGTTCTCCATTGGCATGGTATGAATTCAAATACTACAATATACAGTTAACAAAATTTACAAATTTATGCATTTATTATTTATTTATTTAATATTTTGATTTTTAGTTGAAGAGAGTAAAATGATGGGAAATCAAGCTCCTTCTCAGGGAACTACAAAAATCTTTGCTGACCAAGAGTTAACAATGATGATTGATCCTATTTTAAATATGGATGATCGAAATAATGATGGATATATTGATTATCCTGAATTCATTGCAGCACAAAAGTCACGAGGTTTTTAAAAGATATTCACAGTAATTCTCAAAATTGATGATCAAAAATTATCATATCATTTAGTTATCGAATCTCATTACTGACTTGTTTGATTATTAAATTAGCATCACAAATATTATGTAATCAAAAATAGAATTTCTCAATCACTGTATAGCATAAATAATTTCTAAAATACAAAATTAACTAAAATACAAAAAATTACTATAATATAAAAAAATTTCAAAAATTGAGAAATGCTATTTTAGAATAAGATCTGATCTGAATAAGTAAAATTTAATTGTCAACAATGTTACAATTTATGTGAATATTGAAAAAATACAATTTTTGGGTTCGTGTTTTTGTCATAGTGTACAAAGATTAAAATAAGTAATTAATTTTATTTGTGAAAGAATTTACAAAGTAAAAAGTATTGCTGCCTTAGTAATAATGAATTTAATCAAGCTTTGTGATAAGTTAATTTTATAAATTTGTGAATGGAATGTTTATTTTGATATCATAGAATTAATTATTTAAACAGATTATTTTTTCAAAGATGATTAGAGTTACAGAATTTGGTTATTTAATCAGAAAGAACTTAACAACATAAAGTTGTTATAAAAGCAAAATAAACATTAGTTTATTTAGATGAAAAAATTAATATACATCATATATAACTAATATATATGTATGAATGACTTTTATTTTTTCAAGAATTAGCATTCTTAAAAAAATAAAGTCCTTTTTATACATATAATTTTTCAAAGAAAAAAAATCTTTGACAAATTATTTAATTTTTAAAGAAAAATTATATTAGAAATTGAAATATTAATTTCAATTTCTCAGTAGAATTGTTTTTCCATAAGTTATAATTTTGTTTTTTTTAAATATGTATAGATATTTTGCCTACTAAAGGTGCCTTCTTTAATGCAAAAGCATTTAATAGGCTATATTGTCATTTCTTTTTTTAATGAACAAATGAATATTGATTTGTTATTGAAAGAAATTTTGTAATGATCTTTTAATTGTTTTTTGGTTTTATACAATCCTTAATATTAATTATAGTAAAAAAAACCTTGGTATTGCATATTTCAATAATTAAAAAAACTGTAAAACAAGAAGTACAAATTTTACTGAGATAAAGATTATTAACATAAATACTACAGATAATTATTTAAAATTCATATAGTTTTTTAATTATAAATTTTCAATTCAAAATAAAAATAATTTAAAATTATAAATCATAAGAATATTCTTAAGATTGTGTGTCTCTAAATATTTCCAGAATGTTTAAGGAAACTTCTGGAAAAGTTATGACTTATTAAATGAGACTGTAATGATAATTATCATTTACATTTTTTTTTATTAATTGAAGTATAATTAAATGAGTACTGTTTTTTAAATTTAGCATTTATGTGAGAAGAATCTCTTAAGGCAATTCTTTAAAATTATATGCAACTAATATAATAGAATTTCCTATATCATTGTGATCTGTATGTAAATTTTCAATACTCTAAAATATTTTATACTCTATTTACAGTTGAGAGCTTGTATGGGGTCCCAAGGATAGAGCAGACCCCTTTAATTTTTGTTTTTGAACAAATGAAAGACAAAATGTTTTATTAATAAAAAGCAGTCTTAAATGTTTTATTTTCTATTAGTGAAAATAACATTAATTTTATAGGGCTAAGAATTACTATGGGCTCCTAAAGTTTCTGAGCCCAGGGAAAACTCCTCAACTCTTCCTCCTTGACAGCCCTGCATACCATCAAATTAATTTTAAGAGATTTTTTAAAAAACAAAAATTTTTAATAATTGACTTTATTAATGATCATAATAATAAATATTGTTGACAATTAAATTTGAGAAATTTATACATATTTGTAAATTAAATAACTTTTTTATACAAGAAGAATATTTTTAACTTATAATTTTTGAAACTCTTTACAATATTGTATAGTGTAATTATATTTACTGTATCTGACAGCTTTTACTGTGATCAAAATATTGGTCTTTTACCAATTTATCATTAATGTTTATGCATTGTGATATGTATTTCTTGAAATAAATACATTCCATTTCTAACAATTTTTTTATTATTTTAAGAATAGAAAATGGCATAATTTGTACAGAAATAGAATTTAGAAATGATAGTATGTTTAATACATTATTACTAATGATAAAAATAATAATAGTAATTATGAAATTAAATTCAGTAATAATATGTAATTTTTAAAATCAAATAATCGCTAACTTTTTAATTATTAAACTGACAGAAAAATTTAAATTTTAGAAAAATAGAGCAAAATTTGGAACAAAAGAGAAAAGTTAAAGTTATAGAATGAGATTAATCATATTTAAAATTTAACTAAAATTGTCAGAAACCTCCTATCAGGTTGTTTTACAACAAAATGGCCAATTTCACAAAGTACATTTACAAGTTACAAAACATAAGAAATGGTTTATCGCAATCAAAATAATCATCAGTAACTTGTATACATTTCTGTCAATGTGTAACGAGAACATGTCTTCCTGCTAAAACTTTGGTAAATGGGAGATGAAAAAGATCTGGTATAAGGCTGTTTTATTGATTGTTTTCCCAGCTAGGAAATGGTCCAATATTTGAAAAAATGAACAAAAAATTAGGTGAGTATGCTGGATATGAGAGATCCCAACAGCTATGTTTCCTGTAACATACAAGGATTAGCCTTATAAGAACCAACATGACTAAATGGAAAGAACAGTCAGCATAGACCTAGGCTGACTGCTCTTTGCATAATTTTTCATGCAGTTCTGCATAAACTGCATTAATGGTTTCATTAGGCCACAGGAATGAGTAATGGATTATACAGCAGGCGACCACATACGTTCACCATGATCTTCTATTGGTGTGGAATTGTCTTTGTTGCATGCTTGAATTCATAGTCAATATACAATCACTGCTCTGATCATTGATAATCTTCATATAGGATCCTTTTCATTACATATAATAATGAAATGCAAAAATCTATCCTTTTTTCTATTAGGAGATATATTAACACTTTTAGATGATTTGCTTTGTTTCTTTCAGTCCATGAGGGATTCAATTATTCAAGTTTTTGAACTTCTCTATAACATCCAGATATCTGCATACTATTGAATAATAAATCTCCTGTTTAGCAGACATTTCTGAACACTTTTATGAATGTCAATTGGTTATCAGCAATTTTGGTTGGACAACATTCCACATTACTCATTTTGTAAGCAAATCTCCTGCATGAGATTTTTAGAATCAGTGTTGTATTTTGCTTGAATGTTGTATTAATGTGTGGTGTGTGTTTGTGTGTCACTGGCTGCATTATGCCTGTCAGATCTCATAAAGGAAGGAAGAAAGTTGGGTAATGATTAATAGCATTGAAAATTGATTAATAAAAATTTTTTAAATAACTTGTATTTAAAGTAATAAAACCAAATTGTAAAGTACACTTTAAACTTATATTAGTTTTGATGTTTGTATAAATTTGTGTTGTGTTAATTGTCTCTTAGCTGCACAGCATTACCCTACTTTCCCATTACACAAATTTGGCTTGGCTGCATAGTGAACTTCAAAGCCCTCTTAAACACTTCTAATAAGCACTATTATGCACTGAAGATCATCTGGAGTTGTCTTATAGTACAGTGGAAAGCCAAGTTTCCTTCCATTTATTACTGGTTATTCTTCAGAAGATATTTTGAATGCATATGAACCAGCACTATTGTTTTACCACTCCCAGGCAAAAGTTTGTGTTTCAAGGATAAATCATGTTCTGGTATCAAAGAAAATAGGTTTTACTGTGTAAGTATAACTGGAGAACATGAGATATTTGTGGTAATTGAAAAATTGCCAAATCAAGATGTTTCAAAAATATAGATCATTGTTTGATTTCCATTCAATTGCAAATTTTGTAAAAGCCTGGATAACAATAGAAATTGATGGATTACTTTAGGAAAACATTTGTCAACCAGTCCCCTAACAGATCAAATTTTGTCTAACATCAGCAAAACATTGCCTATAGGAATGTGTTTGATAGCCTTGTGATAAACTATTTGAGTTGTTACCTTTAATCCATTGTGGTCATGCATTATTATTTGAAAATGGATGATTTTTGAAACTGTAATTCTTTTGAATGGCAAAAGTAATTTTTACAAAACAATGTAAATAGGAAATTGCACTGAAGTTAAGAAATGGTAAGATTTTTAAATCAATGGTTTAAATTAATTCAGTGGTCATTTCTAAGTACCCAAGTAACAAGGTTATTCCTAAAGGTAATGTATTTTTTCGTACTGATTCAAGAAATCTCATCCCAAGTATTATAACGATGACATAGAGACTATTGTCAAAACATTGACTTTAGGAAAAGAACAAGTATGGCTGGAACAGCTGAACAGGAAAATGGCTTCCCCCCCTTTGACAATGCTGCATCACATCCCTACATCTAGTTTGAAAATGTCAAGATTGAAATGATATTCAGTAATAGAAATACATTTTCTTGATCTTTTGGATCATGGCATAATTCAAAATTTTAAAATAGAAAAATAATTACAAAGCATGTAAGTGCAAATGTGAATCATGGAGCATCACTTGAAATGCTGACAAAGCCAGTGGCATGCCATCATTAGAAGCGGTGGATGCGCCGCTTCTCTTGTATTTTCTAAAAAATAAATACACATTAATTTTAATTATATGAAAATAATCGCACAATATTTTATTATAACTGCATTATGTATCTTATTACAAATTTCTATACTACACGTGAAAAAAAAGATAAGATTGCTATTGTGTATTCGANTGAAAATAAATACACATTAATTTTAATTATATGAAAATAATCGCACAATATTTTATTATAACTGCATTATGTATCTTATTACAAATTTCTATACTACACGTGAAAAAAAAGATAAGATTGCTATTGTGTATTTGAATATTAGTGGCAGAATAGCAGAGTGGAAACTCTATTGTCAGCATCCAAAAAGCCAGATTCACGCATGCGCTTTACAGAGCACCAACTTCACCTGGTTTAGCCAGCGGAAGCCTAGGACCTTGGGTGGCTGCTATACATATACTGCATCCAATTCTATCCAGGACCAGTTCCAGGCTGTTAGCTGCTCACGCCCGATTACGTGAATCACGAGCAGATTTATAACTTAATCCAATCAATAAGAATTTACTGGTATGTTTTTATGATAGTTTTCTGTATAGTTGACAGGAGTTTAAAAAAAATCTGTTAAAATATTTGATATATTTATTCCGCTCTCCGATTTTATATTACTTGTGTATTTCAATGTTAAACCAGTGATATTACGATTTCATATGTCCCATCTTTAAGGGGATGTAGAAAAAAAACATGTACAATTTTTTAACATTGTACAATTCTTGTACAATGTTAAAAAATTACCCGTTACTTTGGTAGCATAATATACAACTAAATTTAATGAA